TCCTTGTAGCCTCCCTTGGACTCTTCCCAGCAAATCCCTGTCCCTCTGGAACTGGGGAGCCCAGAACTGGACACAGTCCTCCAGATGTGGCCTCACCAGAGCAGAGCAGAGGGGGAGAATCACAGACAAATCACTTTCCCTCGGCCATCTTTTCAAATTCTTTAAGCAGGTGTTTCCAGATATGAATGACCAAGTTACTGTTCAAAACCTGTAGCGTAAAAGAAGAAATCATCCATACACTTCCTTAAATATTAACTCCACATCTCCTAAAGGAGAATGTTAGAGGGCAGCACAAGGAATGGAGTCAGGAAAGGTCTATAGGTATTTCTGGTGCCAGTTACACAGTCATCCAGTGCCTGAAAGGCACTGGAAGGTGCTCTAAAGTCTCCCCAGAGCCTTCTCTTCTCCAGGCTGAACACCCCAACTCTCCCAGCCTGTCTCCAGAGCAGAGCTGCTCCAGCCCTCTCATCATCTTTGTGGCCCTTCTCTGAACCCTCTCCATGTCTTTCCTGTGCTGAGGACTCCAGAGCAGGACACAGTACTCCTGATGGGATCTCACCAAAGAAGATATGGCAAACAAAAACCAGTATTGGGCTGTGTGGGCTCTGGAACAACCTACCTAGTGGAAGGTTGCTCGAGTCATGTAAAGCAGAACTAAAGAAATAATTTAATTTTTTAAAAATCATTGTTTCATTGTAGGCTCTGAAGACCAATGGTGTTTTGGCAACAGGATGGGATAACTCACTTCTTTCTAGTTCCAATACTATGTTGTGGTTCAAAATTTCCATCCCAGTTATAAAACAAATTAAATGGATAGTTCGATGTGTTCAGTGTGTGTAATTTTGGGGGGAAGGAAACCCCAGGTTTAACAACTGATGATAGGGGTTGCAAAGTTAATACCATTTCTTCTCTTTGCAAGCTCAAGTATGTTCTCTTTTCAGCTCAGCTTGCAAACTCCTTGGCCTTTGTTTCTGTTCCTTGTCCAAAAAACCTAACCTGCCAAGATGCAAATTGAATACCGAAGTAATTCCAAAATGTTTTTCACAGATCCAGGCTTTGGGCTGAATGAAAGAAGCTGTGTTAGTAAAATAGCTCTTGGTCTCCTGTTTCCTTCTCAAATCCACACACACTTGCTGTGAGATGAGTGTTGGGTGTGACCATAACTACTAATCCCCTTAAATATGTAACATATACAATTTCAAACCATAAATTTACATCTGTGGAAGGGAAGAATTTGGGGTGACCATTTGGGATTCTGGGTCTGGGCTCTGTTAGGGAGTAGCCACCACGTGACTGCACCATTCGTGCAGGCTTTAGACTCATCTCCAGGTACTGATGTTATCAAATATCAATTATTAAATATTCCTGATGTTAACATCTAAATATCATTTTAATTTTGCTTATGACATGCCCCTTCTTTTTCCAAATTAGAATTATGGGTCTTTCCAGCAGAATTGATCTGAATGTCTCAGACAGAAGGAGTAAATGGCATAAAATCAATCACTTCCAGCATTTCCATCCCCTTTGTCTTCTGCAAGTCAAGCAGTGGCCATCTCTCTCCATCTCCTTAGAGAACATTGGTTGCTACTTCTCCATCCTTCTCTCTTCTAGAAAGAAAGTTTAGCTGATTGAGCTTGCTAGTGGGAGGAAGAGGGAATTGGAAGAGCAGAAATGATGTAAAATAAAGGGTGTCTCTTCTTTTTACTCATCCAAAGAAGAGGTGGGAAGAAAGTTGATAGAAGTGGGTTCATGTAACTTGCTGAGAGAAGAGGTGAATAAAGGTGATTAGTGAGGTTGATTATGAGTTTATGATTGTGAGGTTTGGATTGAAATGTCTTATATTTTCATTGAGCATCAGGTTTCAGTGAAACATACTTAATAAACCAAAGATAACATTAAGCAGAGTGATACCTTTGTGTGCAATAGTCCTTGTTAAACAAATTTCTATTTTGACCCAGAGTAACCCTGAATTGGTAGAGGACCTTCTCCATGCTTTTAGGGTGGTTCCTGTTGCCTCATTTTTTACTGGTCCTTTTGTGCTTTTTTGTGCTTATATTTCTCGCACCACCCTCACAGCAAAGAATTTCCTCCTCATGTCTCACCTCAATCTCCCCTCTTCCAGTTTTAATCCATTCCCCCTTGTCCTCTCCCTCCCTGCCCTTGTCCCAAGCCCCTCCCCAGCTGTCCTGGAGCCCCTTCAGGCACTGGAAGGTGCTCTAAGGTCTCCCTGGAGCCTTCTCTTCTCCAGGCTGAACACCCCAACTCTCCCAGCCTGGCTCCAGAGCAGAGCTGCTCCAGCCCTCTCAGCACCTTTGTTGCGCTCCTCTGGACTTGCTCCTTGTCCTTCTTATGTCCTCATTGCTCCATGTTGATCAGCTGAATGTTCTAAGAGGAAACAGTGGATTGGTTCTCCTTCTGCATTAACCTCAGTCATATCATAGCATGGTGAAGTTTGGAAGGGACCTTAAAGATCATCCAGATCCAACCCCCCTGCATGGGCAGGGACACCTCCCACCAGCCCAGGTTGCTCCAAGCCCCGTCCAGCCTGCCCTTCAACACTGCCAGGCTGGGAAGTGGTAGTAGACTTCAGCCTGGTGGTAGACTTCATTCAGCCTGGTAGTGAAGAGCACTGAAGTTCTTAACCTGGGCTTTTTTTCGCCTGTCAAGGGAAGAGACCTCACATCTGGCAAGAAAAAGGCTTTGTCAACAGTTAACTTCTCCATCTGCCCCACGACCTTCGGTGTGTGTGCTCTTGCCCATCAGTCAGAGCTCATGTGTGTGGTGCCTCTTGCCCAACTGGTCATGAGGGAAAATGGGAGGGAATTGGCAGCATTATTTGGCTATCTTGGGTGGAACTGGAGACTTTGGAAAGGATATGATCAAAAAAGAAGAAAGGGGTGTGATGGAAAGAGCTTAAGGAATTGCCAAATTTAATCAGCTTTCTACGCTTAGGGTGTTTTCATATGGCTTTAAATAAAGTTGATGAGATCTACGAGGTGATAATACTGCAGAGATGTCTTTTTAATTAGTTTTTTTTATTTATTCTTATTCTTCTTCTTTTAGAATAGAGTAACTTAGCTCACATTGAAGGCTGGAAGCTAATTTACATGATTTAAGGATTGCATGAGTCCAGACAATTTTCAGTGTTCTTCTTCAGACCTCCATGCTGAAGAACCTTGTCCTTTTTTGGCTTTTTTCAGGTATTGAAAAATATCACTTGGTATGCTGAACGTGTCTTAACTGAGATCTCACTTGGGAGTCTCCTGATATTAGTGGTGATAAGAACCATCCAGTACAACATGACACGGACCAGGGTAAGTCCTTATGCACCTGGCGTGGGTTTCCACCTTCAGGGGCATCAATTCCACTTCAAACAGGGTGAGGGCTTTTCTTCAGTCTGTTGCAACCAATTGGCAGGGATTTCCAAGCCATGTAGATGAGGCACTTCAAGACATTGGGCAATTTAGTGGGCAATTTTTTAAAAAATTAGTTTTTTGGGGTGACGTTGATGGTTGGACACGATGATCTTGGAGGTCTTTTCTGACCGCGACAGTTCTGTGATTGATGTATCTACACACACTCTATATGAGGCAATCCCTCTTTTATAAGCCTTATAATTTGAGAACATCTTGAAACCATCACCAAGTAGATACACTTGAAATTTCTTCTCTCTGCTTTTGACCACCTCCTTTACAACAACACATGTTACTCAGGCTTTTCAGTGATTCCTGCGAGAAGTTCCAACGTGTATCAAAGCAACAATTTGATGTCATTTTTTTTTTTTTACCTTTCCTTTTATTTTTTCTCTGTGTTTCCTGACAGGACAAATACCTTCACACCAATTGTCTGGCAGCCTTAGCAAACATGTCAGCACAGTTCCGCTCACTTCACCAGTATGCTGCTCAGAGGATCATCAGGTAAATATGAACCCTCAGAAAGAAGCTTCACTTGAAAGCCACTTTTGCTGCCACTTAAGGGTAGAGGAGCTTGAGTTTTAAATGCCTGAATAGGTACTAATGAACTAAACAGCTGAAATGGTAACTGGGTAATGAAAAGATCCCAGAGTAAAGATCCCAGAGTAAATTGTGTTTGCTTTACAGTTGGATCTTGAGTCTGAAAAACTTCTGACTTGGAGACTCTTAACTCAGGAGCTGCTTTCAACCTGGAAGGTTTTCAGGGATTGGTGTGATTTTGCTTTTCCTAGTTATGTATCACCTTTTTATAGAAATGCTCTGAGTTGTGAGTCTCAAATACTATGCAGACTGGATTTTCAACTTGCTTTGCTTCTTCCTGCCATGTCTGCCAAAAGGTCTGTCAGTTAAATCAGCCCTAATGCAACAGTCATTTGGTGATGAGGCCCTGCAAATATAAGCAATAAAACCTACACCTTTGCTCTTGGACTGAACAGGTTTATTAGCTTGTATAGTTATTAGATAGTTAATATCTGCTCTGGTTGTGAAACAGGGACATAACTTGAAAGAAGTTGATACTGAAGTTGGTTCTTCCTATGTTGTGTCTGCCACTTTGTAAGGCAGGTAGCCCTGAGTGAGGCATCTTTCCTGTCTTGGCAGCCAGCCCTGCTCCAAGGGAAAGCAGGAAGGTCCTTATTAATGTGCTCTGGAATAAACTGCTAAAATGCTTGTCAAGTACAGACAGTTCTCCAAAAATAAGGAAGTTATAATTTTGTGCCTGTACACTTTGTAAAGGGCTGGGTTAAGAGATGCCTCTTGTTCTTGAGGATTTAATTCTGTCTGAAGCCCTTCTCTTTTGGAAATGGTTGATTTTAAGTATATGCACAAGTAACCAGGATTCATACATTCTGCTCTTACCTTTTCCCCTGTTGATACTCACCTTCTTTTCGGCCCCTTGGCAGTGGTGACCAGTGTTCTCAATGGGAAATGAATCTGTTTTCCCCTTGCCTATCACAAACATTCTCTGAAATAACTCTTCATTTCTCAGATGATAGACATGGAGTCTGAATTTTCCAAGCATTTGCAAACATTGGGCTCTGAAATCGTAGGTCTTGTACTGGTGTGAGATGTCCTGCCTTGACGCTCAAAAACTTGATCTGGTTTTCATAGAATCAACCTGGTTGGGGGGGACCTGGACGAGCATCAAGTCCAAGCATAACCCATCCCATTTCAGTGGGATGGTCTGTTTGCCACTTCAGAGCTTTTTCCTGTGGTCCTTGATTTTATTCCAATTGCTTCTACTGCTGTTCTGACAGTGACATGTGCTCCTCTTGTTCTGTCAGGGCCAGGAAGGGGTTATTTTACTAGTCCCAGTTGTTAACCACCATTCAGTGATCTTCTCGTCACCTAGTGTAGCTGTGTGTGTGGCTTGACTTTTGGTCAACGTGCTCTGAGTTTATGGGCAACTGCAGTTCAAAATTTAAGCCCCTGGTTCCAAGTAGGACCAGTTGGATTATTTTGATGGAATTGAGTTATGAAATGGCTAAGCATGTGCTCTGCTGGCTTACCAGGAGAGGTGGCAGCCATCAGTAGAGAAGCAGCAGCCTCAGCAGAAACACCTCACCTAAACCTTTCAAGGTGGAAATGGGCAAGGAACCTCCATCCTCGGAGCCTCTTCCCTACCCCAGCCTCTTCCAGCCTTCTCACGTGAGGTTTTCACCATCTGTAACTTCATCTTTGAGGCAAATTGACTCCCTTGTGTGTTGTGTCCATCTCAAAGCCATCTTCACAGCCAAAGAAAGCTGTGAAGCACCCAGAAATTCTCTTACACTCCTGGTCTGCAGCATGTCAGCAGTCTGATGTGATGTTTGGGTGCCCCATTTGTCGTCTGTCTAGACAAGCATAGCTACAAGGTGACTTCACCATTGCTGCTTGAATGTGTTTGTGAAATAATTGGGTCAACATTATTACTGGCCCAGGGGAGACCTTCTGGCTCTGCAGCTGCCTGAGAGGAGGTTGGAGCCAGGGGGGTCGGGCTCTGCTCCCCAGGAGCAAGGGATGGGACAAGAGGAAATGGGCTGCAGTGGTGCCAGGGGAGGCTGAGATGGGATGTTGGGCAGCATTTCTTGCTGGCCAGGGTTGTCAGGCCCTGGCCCAGGCTGCCCAGGGCAGGGCTGGAGTCCCCATCCCTGGAGGGGTTTCCAAGCCGTGTAGATGTGGTGCTGAGGGACATGGGGCAGGGGTGGCCTTGGCAGGGCTGGGGGAGTGGTTGGACTGGATGATCTTAAGGGCTTTTCCAACCAGACTATTCTGTTCTATGATTCTATAATTTAATCTGAGATGTCAGAGTCTTTGGAGGATTGCAGAGGAGGTAGTTTGGAAGGAGAGTGGTCTGAGAGGGATCCAGGTAACCCAGCCATTGGCTGCAGGGTTGGAGCTGTATTGTTATGGTTGGGTGTAATGTAAGGGTAGGTACAGAAAATGGTCGTAGTCATCAACTGAGAAAGCAAAACAAAAAGGCATGATGGAAGCAGAGAATCATCAAATGGCTTGGGTTGGGAGGGGCCTTTAGGGGTGATCTAAGATGATACACATTGTATCATATATAATGTGATATTCTTATACAGGCCAAAGATATTCCACTCTCTAAATATTCTGTGGGGCTTGGACATGAACAGGCTGGAAGGGTCAGTCAGTTTCAGGGGCAACGTTGTCTCATGGAAGACCTCACTGCTGGTATGCTAACACTTTCTTCTCTGGAGCTTCACAACCTTGGCTTTGCTGGCAGGCCTGAAAGAATTGTTTGTATCCTGAGGGTGGTGAGACCCTGGCCCAGGTTGCCCAGAGAGGTGGGAGATGCCCCATCCCTGGAAACATCCTGGCTCAGGTTGGACAGGGCTCTGAGCAACCTGATCCAGGTGCAGATGTCCCTGCTCACTGCAGGGGGTTGGACTGGGTGGCATTGAAAGGTCCCTTTCCACCCAAACCATTCAGTTGTTCATAGTATATTAATCTGCTTTCCTCTCAAAATACACAGTTTTGTTATAAAATTCACGTTATCAAGACAAGCAATGGGAATATACTCTTATGAACACATGGATTTCATAGGAAATTCATGTTTTGAGGCACATATTGTCCTTTTTTCCCTACCTTATGAAGTCTGATAGCCCCTATTATTAATTTTGGCCAACACTTATGGACCCAATTTGCTCCATGATGCCAAAGCAGAATATTTCTGTTTAAATTTCTCTTCTGGTTCTACCATCAGGTTGCAAGCATCTCTAAGGGATTCAAACCACAATATCCAGAATGCAAAAAATGTTTTCTGTGAAGGAAAAGCCTATAAAGAAGATTCCTGATCTTACATGAAGTATTTTAGGGTGTAGGTCTTCACATTAAGTAGCTGTGAAACACTTAACTGCAAATCTGCTTAGCAAAACAACAGTCATAATTTAAGCCTCAGCAGATGCTCTAATGATGCCTTTCTTAATGTGAGAAGTAATTCCATTTCCATGCAGGCTTTTTCCTAATCCTATTCTGAGCAGAGACTGCCAATTGTTTTAAATTCTGAAGACTATTTTCTGTGAAAGAATTAGCTGTGAATATTCAATATAGTGTAGTTAAGAGCTCAGTGAAACACAACTTGATCATGTTGGGTAATTTGGATCACGTTCCAGCAAGCATGAAAATTGACGCATTTGTCTAAATCTATTGCAAGCAGCTGCTGGAAGTTAAAAAAAAAAAACAACCCAAAGATGTCATAGATGTTTTATAATAAGATCCAGGGCAGGATTCATTTAATGTTGAATGTCCTTTGTTGTAGACTTAGACTGCCCTGACTGAGAGATCCTTCCCTTCTCTATCCACTGTTGCCACTGGGTACATTTGAAATCTTCGGAGCTGTTTTATAGGCATGGGTGATACTGCCCTGGTGCATGGGTGTATCACCTGCATGGGGGATACAGCACCCTCTTATTGGTGGGGTGCTGGCATCTGTGCTGTCTTCTCAAGAGGTTGGTACATAATCATCTACAAATGAAATACTATGTGTGTTGATGGCATTATTGTCACAAATGGTTGCCAGAGGTGGCTGTGGATTATCTAAGCAAGAAAGGACAGCCAAGTGGAATGTTACATAGTAGATCATCTAATTGCAACCCCCCTGCATGGGCAGGGACACCTCCCACCAGCCCAGGCTGCTCCAAGCCCCATCCAACCTGCCCTTCAACACTGCCAGGGATGGGGCAGCCACAGCTTCCCTGGACAACCTGGGCCAGGGTCTCACCACCCTCACAGCACAGAATTTCCTCCTTATGTCTCACCTCAATCTCCCCTCTTCCAGTTTTAATCCACTCCCCCTCATCCCATCCCTCCCTGCCCTTGTCCCAAGCGCCTCCCCAGCTTTCCTGGAGCCCCTTCAGGCACTGGAAGCTGCTCTAAGGTCTCCCTGGAGCCTTCTCTTCTCCAGGCTGAACACCCCA